TGACAGAGATGAAAGAAAAGAGATCAGAACTGAACGATAAGAGGGGGGAAAGGGCAGGATGTAGGGAAGCAACTGGAGGACATAGAGGAGGATTTACTAGGTAAATTAGTCTACTTTGTTGCTGTGACATAAGTTTGTCAAATGGCTTGTAGCTTTGGCCAAATATTCTTTTAGTGGAGCAATTTTTTAATTCAGATTTTTGTTTGGAGCCTCTGAATACCCATCAAAAAAATGCTGTCCATTTGGACCGAGAAGTCTTATTCCCTTTCTTTTATAAGGAACCTTTCAAATGGACAATTTGTTAAGTCCAATGCTGCCTAGGGTACCCACTGAAGGCCTAGTCATAATCATGTCATTGGGAAAGATAGATAAAGGAATTAGGACTGTAATGAGAGTAGATATAAAGAGCAACCATTTCCCTGGAAAAGGAGATTTGGGTTTAGATGAGCCTCCGAGAGCTGGCAATAGTTGGTACAAAGAAAATGCTGTGCATCTCATATGTCAGGTCCCCAAACTGATGACTGGTTGCCTCCAAACACAGACCCACAATCTGTACTCTCAGGCAGGTGGAATACCAGAAAGAATGTTCTTTCTGAATGAAAAAATACAGCTCTGAGGACTAAAACTGGAGGCGGAGGGAGAACCTCATCCAGTTTTATTGGTGACCTACAGCACAGCTTGTCCAAATGGACAGTTCTGATAACTACAGAGTCACTGGTCTGCAGACAGCCATGACAACAGGCTGGTAAGGCATATGCCTGTGTTCTACCCAGTGATTGTCCTTCTTATGACAGATAACACCGTGAGACAGCACACCACGAAATGGTAACACAAATGCAGCAAAAGGGAATGAAAAGAATTGTTTGATTCCACTAAGGAGGTCAAACAAATGGGAACCGATAACAACACCTGGGTGCAGATCTGAGACTAAATAACCAATTCCACACAAAGAGAGTGGAGGGTGGACCTGGTGCTGACTTACCACATTGCTGTGGACTCGACAAGAGGTGAGCAGCAAAGCACAAGGGCTTCCACACCTGGATGAAGACTGGAGTCCATGCTCACGACCGGTGGAAACTGTGTCTTAGTGGAACCTCCAAGGAAACTATGGAAATAAATGAAGATCACCTCAATGAAAACAAGCAAATGCTATTTACTCAGAGCTTACTATAGGAAGAGAGTCACCACCATCACTTGAGTTTGGCAGAAACTCAAATGTGTGTAGTGTAGTGGGGAAGCGCCAGTGCAGGGGTGGGGAACATCGGCCTGTGGACTGTATAAGGCCCACAAAATCATTTGATTTGGCCCAGCCAAGGCACTAGGGGTGAGTTAGTGAAATGTTTGACTAAATATAGCAGGCTGATTTTTTAAAATATATTTTATTGATTTTTTACAGAGAGGAAGGGAGAGGGATAGAGAGTTAGAAACATCGATGAGAGAGAAACATCAATCAGCTGCCTCCTGCACACTCCCCACTGGAAATGTGCCCGCAACCAAGGTACATGCCCTTGACCGGAATCGAACCTGGGACCCTTGAGTCCACAGGCCGACGCTCTATCCGCTGAGCCAAACCGGTCAGGGCAAAGGCTGATTTTTAAGTTGATAATTTTGTATAGCCCACGAGTGATGTTGTAAATATCTAAATGGCTCTTGGCAGAAAAAATGTTCCCCACCCCTGCTCTAGTGGGAAAGGGGGAAGGTTTCAGGTGCGCCCTACCTAGAGGCTGTTGGTATGAGAAGCTGGAAGCAGGTAACTAGAAGTGGGTCATCCAATATAATTTGTTAGGAATACATATTTGGCTTTTTATGGTCTGTCCTAGGTTAAAAGTAGGGGGAAAGTTAGGGAAGCTGGCAGTTACTGACTAGGACCTGATTTGGGGCTGATCTTGTAGATGGACTCAGACTGGTAGCTATGGAGGAAGTGTGTCAGAGTTTTACTTGTATAGGGTGTCCCAAAATTCACGCAAGATTTGAATTTTGCGTGAGCATTAACAATAAGAACAAAAAATAAGAGCCTAACTTTACTTGGTTTATTGAATCAGATTCTAATATCTGTTGCCCTTTGATTTCAATCCCTTCAATTTGATAAGCATTACCAAGTACCAATTATGGCCCAGGAGCAGGGACAATGAAGAACAATGAAGACCACAGCTTTTTGTATGTGCCAGCAAAACTGTAGAGGCCATTTACCCGATGTGCTAGTCCATATATAACCCTATACTGTATACTTTGTGAATCAATAAAAAATTACAATTTTTAATTATAAACCTGTGTTTTCTATCAAAATTACTTCTTGCATAAATTTTGGGACACCATATAGATAGATATAGATATAGATATAGATATAGATATAGATATAGATATAGATATAATCTTGTCTTTGCATGTTTGTATATTTAATCTCTCACCTTTCACTGAGGTTTTCAAAGTTATGATGTTGACTGCTTTGGTGATGTTGTCCAAAGTGTTGGTTACCTCTCCAGTCAGGGCGAGGGTGACCTGAGAATTTCACCAGACTTCCACAGTAGCCCAAACAGCAGTTTATCCAAGGAAAGAGCTGTGCCATGAATGGTAAGCTGAAATGATGAGTCCTAGTCATAGGCTTATAACAAGTCTCAGGCTTGAACTTGCAATGAGTCTTCAGTCCCAGGGGGACAGCACCAGTTACAAGGCAACCTCGGAGTCTCAATAAGAATCTGGCCATCAGGTTTTAGTTCTCAGTGACTCCAAGTCAAGAAGAAAGGAGAAAGAATGGAAATCTAAGTTTGAAGGCGAAGGTGAGTTTGTAGCCAGATATTGAAGGGGTCTGGAAGAGCTGAAAACCTGGTAAGGATCGACAGTCTGTGCAAGGTGGAAGAATCCAGTTCAATACCAAACTGATTTTTCCACAGAGAAAGAGAAAGCTTGGTTACTAGATCAGACGAAGTCAGTGGAAAGCGATTACAGAAAGGTGCAACGTAGCTCAAAGACAATGAGGAGGATCAGAACCTGAACATCCAGAGAGTCAGCTGCTACTTCCTATTGAAACAAAATTTCTCTCTACAGTCTCTCTTACCATTCTGGTCAAACACAATCTCAAAGAAAAGTTATTCTTGATCACAAAGTAAGGCTGGTCTCATTACAGTGGCCTGGTTATTTGCAAAGATGCACCAAGAATGACAATTTACCACATAGGTTTTAGATTTGCTCTGCTGAGAGTTTTCATAAAGAATCTCAGATTGGACTTTTCAAAGCCTCTGGAGAGTAGGAAGCCAAGCCAAGAATTCACCCCCACTTTTCACCTGCAGCACCCAGTGATTTGATGGGCATTCCTCTCTTCCCGAGGTCCCCCAAAGCAGCCTAAGATTCCTGAGCCCACCAGGAAGTGACCTTCCTCACTCACCTGTAAGGCTGGAAACCACCCAGAGAATAGAACAGTAGAGCATCAGCACTATTCCAAACAAAGCCCATTCCCATCCATCAGCAGTTCATTCAGTCCCATGCCATCAAACCTGCCTCACTCGAACTTGGATTAGCAGTCTCATAAATCCATCTTCTTCTCAACTAAGGTTCTGGAAATCCTGACTGAGTCCACCAATAACCAAAGTTATTTAAGCAATGCCATCAGGAGCCTGTGTGCAAGAGTAGCTGGCATAGATCTTCCCCGTGGGTCTCTGAGACTGTCCTTTTCGGCTGAAGACAAAGCATTCAGGCAGGTAGCTGATCATTGCTGTTTACAGGAGCACCGTCTACTAAATTGTTATGAGTGACAGATAGCTTCACAGAAAGCGGCTCCTTATATCCAGAAAATAGAACACTAATGCATCAGTTATTGCAAAGTTCATATTCACCCAGTTTATTCAGTCCATTCAGTCCTAGGCAATTATTTTTTCTTCCACTTGAACTTGAGTCAGTGGTCCAATGAATGCCCCTGCTTTCCAATAGAGGTTTGTAGCTCCTGACTTGATCCACTGGTGTGATTTTGTAGTTGCTTAAGCAATACTATCAGAAGCCTGTACCCAAGAGTCCCTAGTATGGTCCTTTTCCACCAGGCTCTAAGACAGTTTTTCTTTATTGAAGATGGAACTTTCTGTCCTATAGCTCATTGCATTCGATTTCATGGAAACATCAGGAGTAAAACAAAACACACAAACAAAACTATAGATGTCAAAAGACTAAAAATGGCTATTATTTACTTATTATTGATATTTTTCAAAAGGGAATAATCTAAAGAGGGTTTGTTACAACAATAATGCAATTAACAAGCATATCTGGTTGTTTCTGTGGCATGCAAAGCAAAGTCAATACAAAACAATACTATACAAAATATCTATAAACACAAAGAGTTAAGTCTACTTTCAAAAAAAGGTGGATATTATATCTACTTTATGAAAATGGAAGGACATTATCTTCACAGAGAAAACATTTTCAGATATAACATATAAAAATCCCGAGACATTGGATGCCACCTATAACTAGCACATCCTTAGAATATGAAAAGATTATCAAGCTTATCAAGTAAATAGATTCAGCACATCTGGAATTGGCTTTAAACATCAATAGATTAATAAAACTCCACAGATAAGTGTTGTGAATTCCAAATAGAAAACTACTGGCCTGCAATATATTAGATTCAAATTAAAGCAGTTACAACCAAGTTAATGTTTTCAAAAGTAATTGAAACTATGACCAATAACGCTATGCTGCTTTTGTCTTATAGGCAAAGCAACACAAGGACTTGGGTAAATAGAAACAAATCATTGACAGCAAAAACATTGACAATCCTCTGGAACTTTCTCATACAGAATACAAGTGTTTAAATATTAATGTTAATAACATTTAACCCACACAAATTTAACCTAGGAAAGTTTCAGCGTTTCTTCAGATTTGACAGTATTTTTAATGTAACTCATCATCGGTAACATATCAAATAGCCCTAAGTATTTCTAATATTTCTCTTTTCACAACAGGAAAGAACAAATCTTGATGATTTTCCAGGGACTCTCTTGGAAATCACAAAGGCAATTTTAGGTGTTGACAAGGCTAATCAAATTTTGAGCTTGACACAACGTTAAGACCAAGGGGCCTTCAATTCTATGAAAACTTCCTGTACTTTAACTTGTTTGTTCCATCTTAGGTGCAGACTTGGCCCATGTGCTTAACCACAACCAACATTTCCATTTCCTGTCTTGATTTTTTGGTTAGTAGAATATTTGAGGGAGCTTCTTAAGTTTCAAAAACCCCCTCCCACCAACAGCTTCACCGCCGCCCTCCCTCCTACGTTCTACAGCTATCTCTGCATTTAAAGGCGTTGTCCACTCATCTCTCCCCTGAGACATTTCTGGCTTAGTCTTTGAGCATCTTTCTATTCTAATACTCTCCTGCTCCCACTGCAGTATCCTCTTAATGAAATCTTTCATGCTCACATCTAGACTGTATTTTTTTCTTTGACAGTAATGATGCCGTGACTCTGATGGAGTATTGACTACCCCTCGGACCCTGCTTTTTTCACTCACGCATTAAGGCTGTTCTATTACACTCTGTGTTCTTTCCTGGCTGGGGACATCAGGATCCACAGTGGTAAGTGATACCTCCTAACCCAGTGTTCCAAATGTTTGTCAATTGTCGCATGGTAAGGACTTGACTTTATTTTCCCCTTATTTTTGTCTTTTTTCTTCTATTTCTCTGTCTTCTTATCCTGCCTTTTTTTAGTGTGGTTAAAGCCCCTGATTCTCTCCCTGGAAATTATACTTGGGCTAAAGTCCGAAGGCCTTAGTACCAACAGGTGTTCCTTTCATTATCCTGGGAGATTGTCAGTCTAATGGTTGTCCCTCAGATCTCTTCATTGTGGGGCATGTCCTACAACATTGTGGTATCAATTCCACCCAATTTCTTAAAAAATGGCAAAATTTTAGTAACAACCACTTAGAATTTCAATGGCCTTTTGAGGAA